AGGTGCTGGGGGGATATGATGGGAGAGTACCTGCCGAGTGACCCACGCTGAAGTGCTCACAACGCTGGCTGTTGTTTCTGGTTGCTGTTTTTATCATCCCCGTTAAGGCCAGCTGGGTGGCAACTCAACATCCCGTACTAGCAGAAGCCTGGGCTCTGAGTTCAGTGGGTCTGGGACCCCGTGCTGTGTCTAGGGAAAACTACCCAACATCCCACATCCCCCAGCCTTTCTCCTACAGTGTGAGATGACAGCTAATCCCTTCTGTTGCAAGATTTTTCCGGCGAGGCTAGAAGTGAAACGAAGTTTTCCAAGTCCATACATGGTGGACGCTCAGACAGAGAGTCAGTTCTGCGCTGGAGAGGGAAGAGCCGAGGAGCACCATAAGCCTTCCCTGAGCAGGTGAGAGGTGAGCCAGGGGTCAGGGCTCGGGCCCCCGCCGGAGCCTACATACAGGCTGGCTGTTGGTGGCTCTGCCCCGGGGCTGTCAGACGGACTAGAAATCCAGCGAGTCACACTCAGCGCATTCAAAAGACCTCACACTTGCAGCAGTTAAGTGTAAAGCTCGGTGGAGCCAGGCTGCCTGGGTTCAAATCCTGACCCTGAAATATACTCGCTGTGTGGCCTCAGTCCACTCGTCCTGTAGGATGATGACAGGACCCATCCAAAGGCTGTCATGTGGCTTCAGAGTGTAGCCCTGGGCCTCATGTGTAGTAGGTGTTACTGTGTCTTTGAAGTACATTTATGTAAAATCAAAATATATGTGCTGGAAGAAGCTATCTGCTCCTGGGTGAACAGGAGGTGGGAGGGGCACTTGCTCAGCCCCCAGTGGCCTCTGACTCTGGCCGCAGGTCAGAGGGTGCCTCGCCTCAAGCCAAGCACACCGGTGACATTTAAAGTTACATTTTCCCCACACAACACAGCCCTTAGAGACAGGGTAGCGACTTCCTCTGATCTGCACCAGCAAGGTGGCTATCTGTTCCATCCTTGGCCTGGCTGGATCAGGAGACTGGGTTGGCCGCCTACACGGGGCTTCTGTCCGCACACAAGACTCAAAGCCACTGAACTGTGTTCTCGGCTCTCAGACCCTCTTCCTTGACATGTGGCACCCCTTGAGGCGACCCAGGGCACCGCACAGTTCCCAGGTAAACGCCATCCCCACTGTCTAATGCCAGAAAGCATACTGAAATACAAGTGAGGGAGGGAGGGCAAGATGAAAAGAATCACCTCAAATCCACTCAACTATCATTTTTCAAACAGTAAATTACTAACAAAGGTATTGTACATTAATGAGTTAATATTAGTCACACACATTAGACTAATATCCCCAATCTCAATACATTCAGATGAAATTGAAAATGGTGCTCTAAGTTGGTCCAGCCTCTTGCTTGACAACAAGATCTCTTCTTGATCTACTGACGTCCGTCAGTGAACTTGGGGAACCCCAATGGGAAGAAGAGAAGATGAGGGATGAAGGAGGCTGAAGGTTTGAGAATCTAGTTTGGTCCTGTCTCTGCCACCCCTGGAGTGCCTTTAGCACCTAATTCCCTAGAAACTCCAGCTTTGGAATTCCCTTCACCATCTGTGCCAAGACCCTTGTAGGATGTGACCTGTGGCTCACTTCATCTTTTTCTTTACCTTGACTCTCCTCTTTTAGGCAAAAATATTATTTTAGAAGCAAATGTTAGTCACCTTTGGAGCATAATCATGAACCAATTAATGACAAACTATCCAATAACAAGAAAGGATTGAACATGGATTCTGCCTTTCCTATACGAACGGTGCCACCGGCAACTGAGGAGGGGCAGCCCGTCTTCCCAGAGGCATTCCAACGAATACATGAAAAAGAAATGACAGAAGAGGATATCAAACATTAAGGGACCGAGGCACTGCGTGAGCATCAGTAGTTTGCCAACTTCATAGAAAGAGGGACACGGAATGTTACATGCCTTTGAATGAAAGAGCACACCTTCTCCTCCATTCTTCCCAAAGGGATTGGACCTGAGTCTGGCCAAGTCTCTAGGTCCAGCTACCAATTTGCAGGAAAACACTGAGGACGAGGTGGGGAGGAAAGCACACGCAGGAGCCCCAGGACCGTGCAGTCAGCTAAATCCAGACCAAAAACGCTCTGGGTCAAACAGCCGGGGACCTTCAGCACATAAAGGGACTGGTCCAAGGAAGGGATGGAGGGGAGAAATCACCTGTATTAAAAGGCTCAGAAGACACAGCCAGTTTCTACAAATGGGAAAGATTAAACTATCGTATTAAGAGACTGGTAAGACTCAAGTGATAAAACTATAAAGACATGCAAGGAAGTCAAGCTACTGTTGGCCGAGAGATTGAGATTAGAACATGAAGAAGATTCCAGAGTGGCTGGCCAAAGTTCTGTTTCTCAACCTGGCTGGTGGTTTGAGGAACTTAAAAACTCATTACTAAAACATCTATTTTGTGTGGTTTTCTGTATTTGCCTTATAATACCTCAAAATTTAAAAATTGAAAGACTTTACTGTGCTATCATAAATAGAAGAAATCTGTAAAAAGAAAAAAAATATATTTATATATAAAATAAAAGCAAACCAATGACCTAGAAACTGGTGTTTGCCAAAGCTCAGAACCTGAAGCCTGGTACTCTGTGTTAAAAAGGGAAGTGTTAAAAAAGATAGTACAGGGGTACTGGCACCAAATGGAAACATTGCCCTTGAGGCACTCAGAATTAAAGCGGATTAAAAGATGAATGTAATCTGGGGTGCCTGGGTGGCTCAGTCGTTAAGTGTCTGCCTTCAGCTCAGGTCATGATCCCAGGGTCCTGGGATCGAGCCCCGCATCGGGCTCCGTGCTCGGCAGGAAGCCTGCTTCACCCCCTCCCACTCCCCCTGCTTGTGTTCCCTCTCTCGCTGAGTTTCTCTCTGTCAAATAAATATAAAATCTTAAAAAAAATAAAAGGTGAGGGCGCCTGGGTGGCTCAGTTGGTTGGGCGACTGCCTTTGGCTCAGGTCATGATCCTGGAGTCCCAGGATCGAGTCCCACATTGGGCTCCCTGCCCAGCGGGGAGTCTGCTTCTCCCTCTGACCCTCTTCCCTCTCGTGCTCTCTCTCTCTCATTCTCTCTCTCTCAAATAAATAGATGAAATCTTAAAAAATAAAATAAAAGGTGAATGTAATTTAAAACTTAGGCACCAGCCGAAGTCACCCTTTGTACCCAGGGCCATTTTGTACAGGGAGGCATGCGCCGTACTTTGGCAAACACGAACCCAGCTCTTAGTTGTGCCTGCAGTGGAGTGAAGGACGTTCTAGGAGACCCATCACCCAGCAGACCCCAACATGAGGCTGGTGGACCAAGTCCCTGCAGGGAACACTATACACACTTGCCTAAAATGTGCCCTCCCCTGATGGCCTGCAGTAGGGAGACTATCTGGGAATTAGAACTTGACGCCACCAGAAAATCATATCACCCAGAGCACAGATACCGTAGGGACAATGAGGGGACAATCTGGGGACCCACTTGCTTCTCTAGGTTCTACCATATCCCTGACTGCACTGTTTTGTGACGATCCCACGTCTGTTTTCTCTGCTCCAAGACCATAAACTTCTCAAAAACAGGACCTGGTTTGCTTGGCTCTATACCCGAGCACTTGGTCAAAGCCAAGACGAATGCTGAATGTCTGTGAAATGACTGAGTAACATCCGCTGAGCATCGACCTGGCACCAAGCACTGTGTCAAATGCTTCTCATGGATAATCTCATTTCCTCTTCACAACCACCTTGGATGTAGCTACTTTTAGCTCATCCATTTTACAGATGAGCAAACTGAGGCCAGAGGGGGTTTACAATTTGCCGAAGGCCACCCAGTGGTAGATGACAGAGCCAGGATCTGAACCCAGGTCCCTCTGACCCCAAAATGTATCAAGAGACTTCTCAGAACAGGGAAGGAGCCAAATCCCAGCTCTGCCCCTTTCACACAAGGCAGTCCTAAGCCTGATGTGTGGTCTGCATTGATAAAACCCACCCCAAGGCCAGTTTTAGATCTTTCCAGGCTGCAAGTGTGGAATCTAACTTAGCAGAGGACAGGACTTGGTGATGTTGGCGGAGAGAGGAAGTCCCAAGCTTTAAATTACATGCAATAGACAAAAGCGTCCCATTTCACATAGGGGGTGGGCTCTAAAATTAGCATGCATAGTGAGGGCTGCACAGAATCGAAATAATCTTCAAGAATCCCTTAAGGCATCTCTAAGTCACTGGGCCACTGGCCCTCAGAAGCCCCAAAGGCAAGAATGAACTTTGTACCTTTTTGCATTAGGGGGCTGGTCACCCCCTCCTTAGGTATGGAGGCTGGGGTCTCATTTGAACAGGGAAAAGGTAAGAGGTTACTTAAAGGGATGGCCCTTGCTCTTGCAGATAGAGTTGAAATCACAGTTAATAGCAGATAGTGCACAACGTCCCCTTCTCTTCCTGGGAGCCACAGCTGTGTGCTCACAAGCCCCTGCCTTGGACACTGTACCCCCCCCTTGGGGGGGTCCTCCGAAGGCTGTGTTCTCAGGCAACCCCTCCTTAAGGAAGTCCACACAACTGGCAGAATGCACCCAAGCATTCATCCGCAGGGTCTGGAGGGCTGACTGTAACCATCTAAACACACACGCCCCGTGGCCCTTCCCACCCGTCCTCATCTGTAACCTCTGATGTAACACTGCATATTGTGAGACCGAAAGTTCTCAGTCGCTGTCCCCAAGTCACCTCTGGCTGTCTGAGAAAGACCCTGCTCGGTTGGTTATTAAACCAATGGCCCAAGTTCCTTTATCTTCATTGAAACAGCATCTGCCTAGGGGAGAGCTTCTCAGTGGCTGCCTCGGAAACTCTCAGCAGCCTCCCCGGGGCACACCATCTTCCTGTCTCTAGAGTGGAAAGGGTCCAGATGTCGCTTTGGGGGTGGGTACTGCTGGGATGGCTCAGGCCAAAGCTGGGTGAAGCCCTGGGGACGGGATGGCCAGGCCCCTCCAGGCGAGTTACCATAGTCTGGAAGCAGGAATGCAGCTGGGTCAGGAACGGCGGCTTCCCAGGCAGGGCCAGCACCCGCTTCTCCACCATTGTGCACTCCACATCGTCATCCTGGATCACGACGTCCTTCTTCAGGATCTTCACAGCATAGAGCTCGTCTGTGCCTTTTCGCTCAGAGAGCATGACCTGGGAGAGAGAGGAAGTCTGTCAGGGTGGTTGGAAGGACCTGGGGGGAAAGAAAGACATGTTCACTCAAATCCACTCCAAGCTCTGCCCAGATGCCCTCTGTGGACACCAAGTCAAGGGATGACGTCCTCCACAGACCTCACACTTTGACTGGCTGAACCCAATCAGCGGGCAGGGTTCCAACAGCAACAAACAAATATTGACCCCTTTGGGATATGCACCAATGCCCAGTCCACAGGGCTAGAATACAAACCACCTGCGGGGAAGTATCTTTGCTTGTTTTGTTCACTGGTGTAATAGTGCCTGGCACATAGTAGATGTTCGATAAATATTTGTTGAATGAGGGCGTGAGTGCATTCCTGATAACACTGAATGTGGAGCACTTGTTCTCTTATTCACTCAATTATTTAATATTCATTAAGAGCCTTTGAAGCACTGGGAATACGGCCATAAATAAGCCGGCACGTTCTCCGACCCTGCCGTCCAGAGGAAGAAAAACTTCAGATATTAATTACAGGGATGATTAGTGTAAAATTTTAACACCCTCTCTCGCAGTCCTGCAGCTTCCTTCCATGCAGCTGTGGTCCCCACCCCAGCATGTTAATCAGTGTGGCTCAGGACACATCATTATTTTCACTGGTCATGACTATGTCAGACGCAACGGTGGCCAGCAGGTACTGTTCTCAAGAAGCCATTCAGCTTCTTGTGGTACTGCAGGGCAGTACCACATTGCAAGAGACCTGATCAGGCCTGGGGGCTTCTGGGAAGGCTTCCTGGAGGAAGAAGCAATCAGACCGAAATAAGCATTTACTGCAGGCACTGTGTCAGGTATTTGGCAGGTGATTACCTCAATCACCACTACATTTCTGAGCACTCATCAGGTTTTCATTTGTTATTTCTCATCCCTTTGTGTAGAATCAAGAAGGTAGGTACCTTTAAGAAACCTATTTTATAGGAAAACGAGGCTCACGGAGGGCAATTTGCTGTCACACAGCAAATTCAATTAGAGAAAGGGACAGGATTTGAACTCAGGTCTACCTGACTCTAAAGTCTCTGCCTTTAAATGCTTTACTTGCCCAGAGCTCCAAAAGAATCCTCAAGGAGTTTAGGTGGTCACGCAAATAAAATGCTCATACCTGACTCAGCTGGAGGACCAGAGAATACAACAGAGCCCTAAGGCCAGAGAGAGGCATACCTAGAAGGCTCTCGGAGGCAGGAGGGCAGCCGGGCAACCTCCATTCAGTTCTTATCCCAGGGGTAAGAGTCTGACTGCATGGAAGCTTCCAGGCTAAGCCCACTGGCTCACACAGAGGCCCCATCTCCTGCTCTCACCATCTCCTTTCTCACCATAGCCAGAGCAGCCACGGGCAATGCAGAGCCAGGAATTTATAGAGTATTTAGCAAGAAAGTTCCTGGTGCACACTTCCTCTACCATAGGACTGTTCTCAACTTCTCCCCTCTGGCCCCACCGTAGAGATAAGGGTTGCCAAGCTAAGTGAGTCCTACCTGTTGGGCGTTTACTCAGTCCCCATGCAGATCTGCCAGCCCACGGGGCAGGGTGGGGCTCAACGTGCCAGGCTGTGCGTCCTCAGTGTGTTTCTCTCCCCAGTTCTCTCGACAGCCCCCAAGGGCCGTTTTCCCTCTCCCAGCCCTCATCAAGGTAGAAATGACTGACTCCACGAGGCTAGTATTCTAAGATGTAAAGAGTCAGGTGGAGATGGGGGTGTTCTGCTCCCAGATTCCAGAGAAGGCTGGGGATGGGGAAAGTGCAGGGAGGAGGCAGGAACATGACTTGGCCAGAAGACACATGGGTAGAGGAGCTGAAAGTGGAAAGAAGAGCCTTCAGCTGAGGAGACCCTCCGAGTGCAGTAGGAGGGTCTCAGTGCTGAGCCAGCTTCGAGTGTGGACAGCCCCACTGACCCATCACCGCCGGTCAAGGCATCATCTAACTAACAATCCTAAATACTTGTAAACATCCCCTCCCGGACTGCCCAAGACAGAACAGAGGGGCCTCGGACACCCCAAATGTCGATGCAGTCATGATGGGACATCTTAGCCTCCTGCCTAGAGGAGAAGCAAGACAAATGGCCGGGAATTCCCCGGGCACCAGGGGCAGGGTGGACATCCTACAGCTGTTTCAATTATCCCCACTTTACAGATAAACAAACTGAGGTTCAGAGACATTAACCAGCTCAAGCTAACAAATGCTCTAAAAATGCGGCTTTGCTCATGCTACTCAAGTGCATATAATCCTTCAGGGACTCCCACAAGCCACACAATTCCATGACTCCATCCTCTTCTTGCTTTTCCTTTGAATCTTCTATCCCCACCGTCTGCAGTGTCCTTCTACACTCTTTCACTGCCCAGAAAATCAAAGATTCAGCTCCATTGCTACCTTCTTCTCTAATCCTCAGCGATACACTTAGACCAAATGGGTCACTCCCTGCTCTGGGCACCAGGACTATTTTGTACCTATGTCAGTTACTTTAACACAAGTTTCCCAAACTTCAATCAGTCATTCATGTGCCTTTTTTAAACATCTTTTCCTATCACCTAAACTGCTACTTGCTTAGTATTTTAAACATCTAGTCACATTTTTTACTGAACTAAATTTATCTGAAAAAGGAAACTTTGGATCACCACTATTAATGGCAAGCCAGTATCACTAGCCATAATGGAAGATCAGCATAAAAATAAATAAAAGCAAAGCAGTGCTAGGAAATTCTAGCTAGCTATTGCTAGCTGCTGAAGGTTCCAAGCCAGCCCCTGCGTGTTCTCCTCATTAAAGGAAAAAATGGTGTTAGCAAATGTTAGAGAACTATTAACGTCATACATATTGTCATCAAACAAGATTTTCTTGTTCAAGTAACTAGAAAGATTGAAAGAAAACATAAAGAGAGCATAACCTTATCATGATGTGATTTACTTTAACATCACATCTATGTACCACCTACAAACAGTCTCAAGCACGAAACTAAAATCATCTTGCAAATCATGCTATGTGCTTCACGCCTTACGAAATACTGTGGCATTTGTAGACATCGTTTTTTAAGTCAATCAGCAGGGATATGGAAAGACTCTGGTGCCTTGCCCTGTCCTAAGCAACATGGGTAGAAGGAAGAACAAACCAATACCAGATAGCACCTCTGACATCGTGGGAGTGGTATGCAAATGAGCCAAGGTTGGGAAATTCCTCTGTATTGGCTGGAGGAGAGTAGAAATGATATACATGGAACATGGGGTAACAATTTAGACACAGAACTGAATCGGATTCTAGAGCAGGGGTCAGCAAGCTTTTCCCATGAAGGGCCACATAGTAAATATTGTAGGCTTTGCAGGGCAATCTCTGTATCAGCTACTCAACCCTGCCCTTGTAGCGGGAAAGCAGCCCTTGACAATATACACATGAATGGGTATGGCTGTGTTTCAATACAATTTTTTTTTTTTTGTAGGGGCGCCTGGATGGTTCAGTCCGTTGAATGTCTGCCTCTGGATTTCGGCTCAGGTCATGATCTCCAGGTTGTGAGATCGAGCCCTGCATCGGGCTCCGCACTGGGCATGGAGCCTGCTTAAGATTCTTTCTCCCTTTCCTCTCCCCATTCACTTGCTCTCTCTCTCTCTCTAAAAAAAAAAAAAAAATTTTTTTTTTTAAATAAAACTGGGTGATGGCTAAATGTCCACTGACAGATGAATGGATGAATGGATAAAGAAAATGGTGTGTGTGTGTGTGTGTGTGTGTGTGTGTGTGTGTGTACACAGTGGAATATCACTCAGCCATAGAAAAAGAATGAGATCTTGCCATGGGTGACAACATGGATGGACCTAGAGGGTACTGTGCTAAGTGAAATACGTTAGACAAAGAAAGACAACTACCATATGATTTCATTTATACAAGGAATCTAAAAACCAAAACAAACAAAGCAGAAATAGACCCATAAATAAAGAGAACAAACTGGTGGTTGCCAGAGAGGTGGGGGTACAGGGATAGACAAAGTAGATGAAAAGGATTAAGAGATACAAGCTCCCAACCACAAGATAAAGAAGTCATGGGGAGGAAAAGGGCAACATAGAGAATAACATTATGTGGTGATGGATGGTAACACTGTGGTGAGCAGAGCATAATGTATAAAATTGTCAAATCACGACGTCATACACCTGAAACTAATAGAATATTGCATGCCATCTGGACCTCAATAGGAATGCATGAATGAATGAGTGGCAATGGGCCGGGCACCAGTTTTTGCTAGAACGTGTGCTTCAAGAAAGATCAGGAAATGGGGCGCCTGGGTGGCTCCGTTGGTTAAGCGACTGCCTTCGGCTCAGGTCATGATCCTGGAGTCCCCGGATCGAGTCCCGCATCGGGTTCCCTGCTCGGCGGGGAGTCTGCTTCTCCCTCTGACCCTACCCCCTCTCATGTGCTCTCTATCTCTCATTCTTTCTCTCAAATAAATAAGTAAAATCTTTAAAAAAAAAAAAAAGAAGGAAAGATCAGGAAAAATAAAAGTTCCTAAATAATCACAGTGGCAGCAGTTTAATTTGGAAGTGAATCCTAGCATGCCTTTCAATTCTTCCAACTCTTTATTAGAAGAACCTTCTGATTGGGCAGTGGGCCCACCTGGCCACAGCTGGTTGGATCAGAGGTAGCTCCTGACCTAAGCTGAGCCAATCAGATTCTCTCTCCAAAGAATTTGCGACAGAATACCGGGCCAAGTCAGCCCTGTGCCCCTGACGAGAGAAATGCACAGATCTGCCTAGAGTGGTGCTTTTCTACCACATGCAGGCAAAGAAGAAACTGATGTTGGGGGTAATGAGCAGAGGCCTTGCTTTCCAGGGCTTGGTTCCAGTTTCTCATGAGGCTTGGCTGTTTCCCACTGAAAAAAACCTCCATCTCCCTCCAATAAAGTGATCATTTTTATTGATATTAGTTGGAGATTTCTGTTACTTAGGGATCCTGTAAGACAAAATTACTGTTTGGGTGGCTCAAATTCTTAATAAAAATT